AAGACTGGAAACTCTTGTGGAGTTAGTCCGTGTTTGTTCGCACTGCCTCTACGTCTTGAAAAAGGTCTCCTGCAGGCATCGTTCGGCCGATTTCCACAATCAATAGCTCATTCTTTTGCTCTTGAAATTCGCCATGGGCGTACAGCTTCCAATTTTTGATTTTGTTCTTGTGTCGCGAGTTTTAGCTCCGCGAACGGAAGCTGGTTTCACATTTCTTGTATAGCCATTTAGACGTCCGCGTGCAGGGATCGGCGAAACTTCAGATATTTACATCGATATTTTTCTGATGCTCGAAAAGACGCACATGGCTCAAACCCCCTCCCCCTCCAGACGCACCAATATCGTCTCTAAAAAAACATCGATATTTACGGACGGCCCCTAACTCACACTTCCTATGAATCCACACAGGCGGGTGGGACGCAGTCCTCACTGTAACCCACACACTTCACGTACAAACTAGCACGCGGGGAGCCCCTAGTCATAAAATATTAACTGGTTTGAGGGAAAGAGACAAACGGGAAAAGTCTGAAGAAAAAATTGAATGTCACCGCCAGGACTCGAACCAGGGACCTTCGCTTGTAGCCAGCGATGCTCTCACCACTGAGCTATGGTGTAGTCGTCATCCCAGCAGAGGCCGTTCAACATTTTCCTCAGACTTCGTAACTCACACTTCCTATGAATCCACACGGGCGGGTGGGACGCAGCCCTCACTGTAACCCACACACTTCACGTACAAAGTAGCACGCGGGGAGCCCCAAGTCATAAAATATTAACTGGTTTGAGGGAAAGAGACAAACGGGAAAAGTCTGAAGAAAAAATTGACTGTCACCGCCAGGACTCGAACCAGGGACCTTCGCTTGTAGCCAGCGATCCTCTAACCACTGAGCTATGGTGTAGTCGTCATCCCAGCAGAGGCCGTTCAACATTTTCCTCAGACTTCGTAACTCACACTTCCTATGAATCCACACAGGCGGGTGGGACGCAGCCCTCACTGTAACCCACACACTTCACGTACAAACTAGCACGCGGGGAGCCCCAAGTCATAACATATTAACTGGTTTGAGGGAAAGAGACAAACGGGAAAATAATAATAATAATAATAATAATAATAATTTTCACTAGTTTGAGGGAAAGAGACAAACGGGAAAAGTCTGAAGAAAAAATTGACTGTCACCGCCAGGACTCGAACCAGGGACCCTCGCTTGTGGCTAGCGATGCTCTAACCACTGAGCTATGGTGTAGTCGTCATCCCAGCAGAGACTGTTCAACATTTTCTTCAGATTTCGTAACTCACACTTCCTGTGAATCCACACAGGCGGGTGGGACGCAGCCCTCACTGTACCCACAAACTTCACGTACACTCTAGCACGCGGGGAGCCCCAAGTCATAACATCTTCACTAGTTTGAGGGAAAGAGACAAACGGGAAAAGTGTGAATAAAAAATTGACTGTCACCACCAGGACTCGAACCAGGGACCCTCGCTTGTAGCTAGCGATGCTCTAACCACTGAGCTATTGTGTAGTCGTCATCCCAGCAGAGACTGTTCAACATTTTCTTCAGACTTCGTAACTCACACTTCCTGTGAATCCACACAGGCGGGTGGGACGCAGCCCTCACTGTACCCACACACTTCACGTACACTCTAGCACGCGGGTAGCCTCAAGTCATAACATCTTCACTAGTTTGAGGGAAAGAGACAAACGGGAAAAGTCTGAAGAAAAAATTGACTGTCATCACCAGGACTCGAACCAGGGACCCTCGCTTGTAGCTAGCGATGCTCTTACCACTGAGCTATGGTGTAGTCGTCATCCCAGCAGAGACTGTTCAACATTGTCTTCAGACTTCGTAACTCACACTTCCTGTGAATCCACACAGGCGGGTGGGACGCAGCCCTCACTGTACCCACACACTTCACGTACACTCTAGCACGCGGGGAGCCCCAAGTCATAACATCTTCACTAGTTTGAGGGAAAGAGACAAACGGGAAAAGTGTGAAGAAAAAATTGACTGTCACCACCAGGACTCGAACCAGGGACCCTCACTTGTAGCTAGCGATGCTCTAACCACTGAGCTATGGTGTAGTCGTCATCCCAGCAGGGACTGTTCAACATTTTCTTCAGACTTCGTAACTCACACTTCCTGTGAATCCACACAGGCGGGTGGGACGCAGCCCTCACTGTACCCACACACTTCACGTACACTCTATCACGAGGGGAGCCGCAAGTCATATCATCTTCACTAGTTTGAGGGAAAGAGACAAACGGGAAAAGTCTGAAGAAAAAATTGACTGTCACCACCAGGACTCGAACCAGGGACCCTCGCCTGTAGCTAGCGATGCTCTAACCACTGAGCTATGGTGTAGTCGTCATCCCAGCAGAGACTGTTCAACATTTTCTTCAGACTTCGTAACTCACACTTCCTGTGAATCCACACAGGCGGGTGGGACGCAGCCCTCACTGTACCCAAACACTTCACGTACACTCTTGCACGCGAGGAGCCCCAAGTCATAACATCTTCACTAGTTTGAGGGAAAGAGACAAACGGGAAAAGTCTGAAGAAAAAAATTGACTATCACCACCAGGACTCGAACCAAGGACCCTCGCTTGTAGCTAGCGATGCTCTAACCACTGAGCTATGGTGTAGTCGTCATCCCAGCAGAGACTGTTCAACATTTTCTTCAGACTTCGTAACTCACACTTCCTGTGAATCCACACAGGCGGGTGGGACGCAGCCCTCACTGTACCCACACACTTCACGTACACTCTAGCACGCGGCGAGCCCCAAGTCATAACAACTTCACTAGTTTGAGGGAAAGAGACAAACGGGAAAAGTCTGAAGAAAACATTGACTGTCACCACCAGGACTCGAACCAGGGACCCTCGCTTGTAGCTAGCGATGCTCTAACCACTGAGCTATGGTGTAGTCGTCATCCCAGCAGAGACTGTTCAACATTTTCTTCAGACTTCGTAACTCACACTTCCTGTGAATCCACACAGGCGGGTGGGACGCAGCCCTCACTGTACCCACACACTTCACGTACACTCTATCACGAGGGGAGCCCCAAGTCATAACATCTTCACTAGTTTGAGGGAAAGAGACAAACGGGAAAAGTGTGAAGAAAAAATTGACTGTCACCACCAGGACTCGAACCAGGGACCCTCGCCTGTAGCTAGCGATGCTCTAACTACTGAGCTATGGTGTAGTCGTCATCCCAGCAGAGACTGTTCAACATTTTCTTCAGACTTCGTAACTCACACTTCCTGTGAATCCACACAGGCGGGTGGGACGCAGCCCTCACTGTACCCACACCCTTCTCGTACACTCTAGCACGCGGGGAGCCCCAAGTCATAACATCTTCACTAGTATGAGGGAAAGATAACAAACGGGAAAAGTCTGAAGAAACAATTGACTGTCACCACCAGGACTCGAACCAGGGACCCTCGCTAGTAGCTAGCGATGCTCTAATCACTGAGCTATGGTGTAGTCGTCATCCCAGCAGAGACTGTTCAACATTTTCTTCAGACTTCGTAACTCACACTTCCTGTGAATCCACACAGGCGGGTGGGACGCAGCCCTCACTGTACCCACACACTTCACGTACACTCTTGCACGCGGGGAGCCCCAAGTCATAACATCTTCACTAGTTTGAGGGAAAGAGACAAACGGGAAAAGTCTGAAGAAAAAATTGACTATCACCACCAGGACTCGAACCAAGGACCCTCGCTTGTAGCTAGCGATGCTCTAACCACTGAGCTATGATGTAGTCGTCATCCCAGCAGAGACTGTTCAACATTTTCTTCAGACTTTGTAACTCACACTTCCTGTGAATCCACACAGGCGGGTGGGACGCAGCCCTCACTGTACCCACACACTTCACGTACACTCTAGCACGCGGGGAGCCCCAAGTCATAACATCTTCACTAGTTTGAGGGAAAGAGACAAACGGGAAAAGTCTGAAGAAAACATTGACTGTCACCACCAGGACTCGAACCAGGGACCCTCGCTTGTAGCTAGCGATGCTCTTACCACTGAGCTATGGTGTAGTCGTCATCCCAGCAGAGACTGTTCAACATTTTCTTCAGACTTCGTAACTCACACTTCCTGTGAATCCACACAGGCGGGTGAGACGCAGCCCTCACTGTACCCACACACTTCACGTACACTCTAGCACGCGGGGAGCCCCAAGTCAAAAAAAATATTAACTGGTTTGAGGGAAAGAGACAAACGGGAAAAGTCTGAAGAAAAAATTGACTGTCACCACCAGGACTCGAACCAGGGACACTCGCTTGTAGCTAGTGATGCTCTAACCACTGAGCTATGGTGTAGTCGTCATCCCAGCAGAGACTGTTCAACATTTTCTTGAGACTTCGTAACTCACACTTCCTGTGAATCCACAATAATAATAATAATAATAATTAGGAAATTAGAGGCCACATGCCACCTACTGCTCTTTTCTCTCCGAAACTCAACACTTGCAAGCCAGATATGTCCTAAAAACTTTGAAATTCTCCGTGAAGTCCAAATTTGAAATTTTAATAATAATAATAATAATAATAAGTGTACCAGTGTGCCAGTGTACCAGTCCCAGTGTACTAGTACGCGATGGCCTTGACACGTGCGCCGGCGTTCCACCGAGCTTACTCCGTGTGTTTGCTGCTGGGCCTCTGCCTTCATGTACTGAGTTCTCCAGCACTGCGGGTGATGATGCATCATGTATTTAATCTGTCTATGCACACTCTTTGGGTGGTCCAGAGGCCTGCGTGCGTCCACAGACTGTTTATGGCCTGGCAGGGCCTCAGCCACCTGTGGAGGGCGACTTTGCTCCCAGTGGATCAACGCCTACTGTGGATGGACCGGCTGTTGGAGTGCCTGAAACAGAGCAAAGTCACTGCACAAGGGAGACGCCTTGTTCGCCTTGTAGTAATTCCAACCCTGATAAGCTTGGAGGCATTCTTACCAATCTCAGTGAATCTGGTATTCTGGGCCCTGGTGGTTTGAGTATGGATCTGGAGTGGTCAATCAGGCACCTCTGCATCAATCGCAAAATAACCACACCTGGTGACGTTGCCAGACCTCTGAGCGGTGTTTTAGTTGGAGTACAGAGCTTGCAGTTGACAGGTCGGCCAAGACTCATTGTCCCCAGAAAGGTCCCTAGCCGTGCACTTTCCAGCAATGTTGCCTTGGTCAACGGTGGCATGAGACTGTTCCTGTTGGGTTTACCCCTGCCTCTGTCTTTGGAACTCGCCAATCAGCTCACCTATGCAGCGGCGGTGCTGGTCTTGGTGGTGTCTGGTGTTGCACCTTGCCGTTTGAGTGGTGGTGATCATGGGAGGGAGACTGCGCCAGGCTGGTTGTTGCGGATACAACGCAAAATTGAGAATGTGAGGAAAGATGTGTCGCGCCTCACAAGTTTCATCCAAGCTGGAAACCCAAGATTGTTCACCAGATATCCTGTCAAGAGCAGTGATGAGGCCGCGGCTCTACTAAAAAGCAAGAAAATGGAGCTGCTGGCGCTTTCCGCCAGAATCAGACGGTATAAGGATAACATCAAGAGAAAACAACAGAATCAGGCATTCAGAGAGAACGAGCGCCAGTTCTACCACTCTCTGGGGACACAGGAGGCTGACTGCAGTGACCAGACTCGGCCTGGTATGGGGGCGTTGCATGATTTTTGGTCAGGCATCTGGTCCGAGCCATTTTCGGTGAGCAGACATGGATGGATTGAACGGGAGGCTCTTGCCTATCAAGATGTCCAGCCACAAGAGGATGCAGTCATAACGCCGGAGTTGTTCCAACTGGCAGTTGGAAGGTTGCCTCACTGGCGTGCTGCTGGGCCTGACAGCATCAGACCATTCTGGTTGAAGAAGTTTAGTGCACTGCATCCTGCCTTGCTTCGCATATTCCAGCGGCTGTTGGATTCGGAAGTCGTGCCACCGCCCCGGTTCTCCCTTGGTGCAACCGTACTCCTACCGAAGAAAGGTGATCTGTCGAAACCCCAGAACTGGAGACCTATAACCTGCCTGCCTTCTATGAATAACTTTTCACATCTGTAGTATCGGAGCTCATGTGGTCTCACATCACCGCTAACAGTCTGCTGGCCCTGGAACAGGTCGGATGTGCACGTGGCCGAGGAGGATGCACAGATCGGTTGTTGATCAACAACATGATTATTGAAGATGCCAAATACCACCAGCGCTCCCTCAGTATGGCATGGCTAGACTTCCGAAAGGCCTTCGATAGCCTTTCCCAAGAGTGGATCTGGGAAATTGCTACCATCTACAAGTTCGATCCTAGGATCATCCGCACACTCCAAACGCTGTCGGAGCAATGGAGCACACAGCTGTGCCTTAGCAGCGGTGTCAGCGAGCCAATATCCATCCGACGGGGTATCTTCCAGGGTGATTCTCTGTCTTCCCTGCTGTTCTGCATCGGTCTCAACCCAATCTCAAACGAATTAGGAAGAAGCGGCATAGGATATCGTTGTGGACCCACGCGTGATTCCCTGTTGTCGCATCTATGGTACATGGATGACGTTAAGCTATTTGCCGCTAGCAGTACTGGACTGGACTCCTTGATCAACATTGTGGAGTGCGTTGGTGGGGCGGTTGGCATGCAACTATCTCCAACTAAGTGCTCGAAGATTGTCTGCCCGGCCGCTAAGCCAACCCAGGATGCAGAGCCTTCGTCAACCTTGCTAACAGAGTCGATCATTCATCCTCTGCAAGATGGCGCGGCGTACCTCTACCTTGGCCTGCGGGAATTCCTGGGAATCGAGGCTGGTGAAGTTAAACAATCTGCCATCGCTGAGTTCCGTCGCCGTCTTCGCTTGATCACGGATGCTTCACTATGTGCACCAAACCTCATCAGAGCAATCAACACCTACGTTCTGCCAGTGGTGTCCTATGGCCTTGGCACAGTCGTTCCTTGGACCACGGATGAGCTCCGCTCGCTGGACAGGACAGTGAGGAAGGCTCTGACTGCTAGCAGGGCCCACCACCCACGTGCCTCAATCCGTCGCCTATATCTACCACGGAGTGAGGGAGGTCGTGGCCTAGTATGCATCGTAGATCTCCACGACCGTACTTGCATCCGGCTTGCTCAGTACCTGAAGGATCGGGAAGATGTCCCTGCCCTGGCCGCTGTTCTCCAGCACCATGAATCACGTCCCTCTAGAAAATCAATACCAAAGCTGGCAAATACTGTCCTGCAGCGCCTTCGCCTGACGAGCCTGGACACCGCTAACAAAGAGACTGTTAAACAGGCCCTCAATGACAACCGCCGCCGTGAACTCCGAGCGATGCCTCTTCATGGTCGCTATTGGGCGCGTGTTGATGGCATCCTGGACATGCAGCTCTCGTTTTCCTGTTTCAGATCCCAGACAATGCGTCCTGAAACGGAAGGCTTTCTCATTGCTTGCCAGGATCAGGTGATTGCCACGAGAAACAATATGCGCCATATCCACAAGAGGCATGATGTCGTGGACCTCTGTCGTGTATGTGGTGCACCCGGAGAAAATATGGACCACATCATCGCCTGCTGTCCAGCCCTGGCACGGACTGCATACATTGCCCGGCATAACTTTGTGGTCCAGGCCCTGAATCGTGCGCTGTGTAAGCAGCATGGATTACCCCGCAGTAAGCAGCTGGTACAGGTCACAAGTTCTGCCAGTTGCAAGCTTATGTGGGAGATTTCCATTCCCACAGATCGAGTAATAAAAGCGAACAGATCAGACCTGGTGCTGGTTCTGGATGATCAGGCACTGCTCTTGGACGTCAGTGTCCCATTGGACCACAGGGTCAATGAGAAGGTGCAGGAGAAGATCAGCAAATACCTGCCCTTGGCAGCAGAGCTGAGGAGGATCTGGAACAAAAAGATAACTATTGTTCCAGTTATCATTGGTGCTCTGGGTGGTGTGTCAGGAACGAGCCGCAGCCACATCTTAAGCCTTGGGCTCTACGCGTCCGTGATCCAGCGGCTGCAGCAATGTGCTATTCTGGGCACCCTGAGAATTGTGCGGTCGGTGACTGGTCATGGATGGGAGAGTGGCATGGTCGGAACGGTCGGTTGACATTATGTTAGCCTGCCCGTAATGTCTCGATGTGTCTCAGTCTGTGTGTTTTATGATTGTGGTGCATCATGTGCTGTGTGACGAGCCGAGAGGCGTGAATTTCTGCCATATGCCCCCAGTCATGTATTATCTTTCTCTGCATATGCCGTTTTATCTCGTCTGAGTTTGTCTTGCTTGGAGTGTCCCATGTGCAGCATGCTTGGTGTTTACTACTTGAGTAGTTCTGTTATACATGACTGTGATTTTATGTGAGTATCGAAGTTGGTATAGTTGAATTTTTCTCTCATGAAGTTTATCAAAATTTTGTTCAGGATTTTCTTTTATCTTCATTGATTGGTGCTTCACCCATGGGTCATATGGATCCTGGTGCTGTGCTTCATGCCTCCTTTCAAGCTTTCTTTTTCTGCTTTGGGAGTGAATAAAGTCGTCATAATATGTAAATAGGCGTCGAGGCGACAATAGTTTTAGAATTGCGATCAACAGAACGAGCTGAACCGACATTTCACAAAGGCTTTTATTGTATTCAAAAAACGATATCCACTCGTTTTTTTGGATACAATAAAAGTCTTTGTGAAATGTCGGTTCAGCTCGTTCTGTTGATCGCAATTCTAAAATAATAATAATAATAATTGCAATTTCAAATTTAGACTTCACGGAGAATTTCAAAGTTTTAGGAAATTAGAGGCCACATGCCACGTACTGCTCTTTTCTCTCTTTTCTCTTTTCTGATGATTTTTTCTTTCTTTCATATCTGGCTTGCAAGTGTAGAGTTTCGGAGAGAAAAGAGCAGTACGTGGCATGTGGCCTCTAATTTCCTAATAATAATAATAATGTAGAAGGGAAAGAGACATTATGGATACGAGTTAAGAGTAACTCTCCATCACTGTAACATGATACTTTATACAGTCAGAAAGTGCAATAACTAGGCACAAAACTGACAGAGTACTGAGACATTCGACGTCCTGACACCTAGCTTCAACACATCTCCGTAGCGCTAACCGACAGCCTTCCAACTTGGAGGGTCTCGTCATCCGGTCCAGTAACAATCGACATTCTTTGTTCCGTTGGGACTGTAGCTTTTGCTCGTTTTCGTTGCGCTTGCCTTCCCCTCTTTGGTCTTTTCGATAACCTTGAACCTTCCAAGTTGGAAGGCTGTCGGTTAGCGCTACGGAGATGTGTTGAGGCTAGGTGTCAGGACGTCGAATGGTTCAGTACTCTGTCAGTTTTGTGCCTAGTTATTGCACCTTCTGACTGTATAAAGTATCATGTTACAGTGATGGAGAGTTACTCTTAACTCGTATCCATAATGTCTCTTTCCTTTCTACATTTATTTATGGCTCAACATCCGAGTTTTACAATAATAATAATAATAATAATAATAATGGCTCAAGCTGGAAAGACTAACACTTATATAGCGTAAAGATAATTAGATAACAACACTCGTGACAAGGTGGAAAATTATCAAGTTTAGCACGACACAAAACTCGAAGGAAAATAATAATAGTGACAACAACATAGTGAGCAAATTAAGTTACATTGTTACCACCTCGACGAGGAGTTACACCAAACAATTGTAGCGACAACACATTTTCTTTCTGTACGCAAAGTTCAGGATCTAACTTACGGATATACAAAGCTTCTAACACAGCCAAATGTAACGCACATCTACCACGTGACAATATAAGTTTTAGTCTTTCCAGCTTGAGCCATTCCCTGTATAATCCTTGATGAGAAGGGACCGAAAACGTTCGGATACTTATGACAAGTGCCTTATTATGACTGGATGTGTGTTTGCGTGGATATTTGCGACCCATAACTTACCTTCGTTTTAAAGTATTATCCGCCTCCGACCTCTTTAAAAAAAAAAATAATAATAATAATAAATGGTTTGCTCCCCACAACGGAGCTCGCGCTATTCCGCCGACTTTACTTGACACTTGACTGACTCACGACTGCCATCCAGAGCACACGAGAAGTCCATCGAACCTTCGACTCGGCAAACCTGCAAGAAAGCACCACTCCCTGCTCAATACACAGTGTTTCGGGGAATTCACCCCTCATCAGTTGAGCTTGTGTAGGCTGAGGAAGATTGTGCCTGAAGAGCACCACTTATATAGTGCTCTCCAGGCACAAACATCACCAGGGATTCAAACTTACAGAGACGCTCCGTTTCCAGCGCGACAAACACCTCGTGAACACCAGATAGCAGCGTGAGTCAGTGTCGCTCCTGGACGGTGAGACAGACGTCGAGGACCCTCCGTCATTCGCAACGCTGTCAGCTCCAAACCAACTAGTCGCAAGCCCGCGCTGGGCACAACAGTACGAAGTAGTGGTTGCAACTTCGGCGATGATTTGTAAGAAATGGTTTGCTCCCCACACCGGAGCTCGCACTATTCCGCCGACTTTACTTGACACTTGACTGACTCACGACTGCCATCCAGAGCACACGAGAAGTCTATCGAACCTTCAGTCAAGTGTCAAGTAAAGTCGGCGGAATAGCGCGAGCTCCGGTGTGGGGAGCAAACCATTTCTTACAAATCATCGCCGAAGTCGCAACCACTACTTAATAATAATAATAATAATAATGATGGCTGAACTCTTGTTGTTTCTGCATGAGGAAGAAGAAGCTGGAAGGAAGGAGAAAAAAGCTGGGTATCATGCTCCTCGGCTTTCGCCTTGTTGAGCACTCTCAGTAGGCTGCTCTAGTGCTGCTGCATCGCGCAATTCCCGCTACTTTTTGTACTTAGAGCACTCTGGCGCTAGAGCGACGAGCTACCTTAATGTCTGTGGTGCCTCCTTTGCACCATGGCTGGTAGCTCGGACTATTTAGCTTGTAGCTGTACTGATGAGGCCTTTATGGCCGAAACAGCTTGCTGTCTACAGCATTGGGTATCATGCTCCTCGGCTTTTGCCTTGTTGAGCACTCTCAGTAGGCTGCTCTAGTGCTGCTGCATCGCGCAATGCCCGCTACTTTTTGTAGTTTTG